GGGGGTGGGTAGCTCCTCCTGTGCTAAGAGCTGAAATTGACCGTTCAAGCCTTTTCGTGGAAGTTGCAACCCTTCAGCCAACTTGAGTTTCAGAATAGTTATGTTAGATTCTGCCGGTGCACCTGTCCAGGTGGGGAGGCTGATTCCTGTTGGGTCCTCCTCCATCTTCCCCGAATTCATCTCCTATTTGTACTTTTTAAACAGTTTAATCAGTTGGAATTTATTTTGCTCTAGAGTAGGAAAGAAATATCTAAGTCAGGGGTCAGTAGACTTTCTCTTAAAGGGCCAGATAGCGACTTTTTAACATTGGTGGGTCATACGAGCTATGTTGCAGCTTCTCAGCTCTGCCGTAGCACAAAGGCAGCCATGGACAATAAGTAAACAAATGTGGGTGACAGTATTCCAGCTAACTTTACTTGCAGAAACAGGCAGCAGACTGATTTTGTCCCATAGGGTGTAGTTCATTGACCTCTGCATTGAATTCTCCATCCTCTGTCAAAAATTGGAGTCTGAAATTTTACCCACGTGCATATAGCAGGTTAGCTGGCCACAGTGTCATGGATGCTGGCAGAAGGCACGGACAGTTTATTATAATAATAGGTGTAGCCAGAATATCATTATTTACTGTGGTTCCTGAGCCCCCAGCGCCCATGGAATTTGTTGTTCGCTGATCTGCCCTTAAAAATTGGCTAAAGGAAGTTCTTCTAATGAAATGATAAAAGAAAGATTATTGGAACACAAGAAAGTCAGGAAGAATGATGGAAAGATCAGAAACATGGGTATGTGCAAGGAGATGATCATTTTCCTCATGATTCTTAGAAATCATATTTGATGATTGAAACAAAAATTAAAATACCATGTAATACTCAGAGCAATGATATTTAATTTAAAAGAGGAAAAGTTAAAGGGAATGGAAGTGATGTTTCCATGCTTCACTTGAGGTATAAAATGTTAATAGAGCAGACTCTGAGAGTCATGTATAAATGTAAGTGTACATATATATACAGTATATACATAAGTCCTGTATATATGTAAGACTTAGAATAACTACTACAAAAACTATACAAAGAGCTACCAAAAACTACGATAGATGTTTACAAAGGGATACCCTAAAAGGAAAAAAAAAGCACCATGAAATAAATTAAGATGGAATACTAAAAATGTTTAAGTAACCTGCAGGAAATCAAGAAAAGAGTAATGGGTATGAGAATGAGAGGAAACAAATAAGAAAATAGCAGACCTGAGGACTAATGTATTAGTGATTGCTTCAAATGTAAATATTCTAAAGATTTTATTTATTTATTTGAGAGTGACATGGGTAGGTTGAGTAAAATGATAGAAAGATACATACCATGACAATAACCCAAAGAGCAGGATTGCCTATATCAATATCAGATTAAGTAGACCTCAGAGCGAGGAAACATACTAGAGACAGAGAATGACATTTCATAATAATAAAAGGATAATCCACACTAAATGTGTATACATCAAACATTGGAGGCTCAAAACTGACATAGTTGAATGGAAAAATCTTAAAAAATAAAAAGTCACAGTTACAGTTGGGGACTTTTTTTTTTTTTAAAGAGCTCAGGTGTGAGTGGGGGAGTGGCAGAGGGAGAGAAGAGAATCTCAAGCAGAGTCCCTGCTGAGTGCAGAGCCTGACATGGGGCTCGATCTCATGACCCTGAGATCATGACCTGAGCCGGAACCAAGAGTCAGACGCTTACCCGACTGAGGCACCCAGGCACCCCTATAGTTGGGGACTTTGAAACCCCTTTCAGCGTCTGTTAGAACTATTTGACGGAAAATCACAAGGATATAGAAAATCTGAGCAACACAATTAACTAATAGGATCTGATTGACAGATATAGAACATATTACCCAGCAACAGCAGAATACATATGTTTTTGAGTGCCTGTGGAACATTGACCAAGACAGACCATGTCCTCGGCCACTGAACAAATCTCAGTGGGTTTACAGGAATTGAAATCATAATGTTGTTCTCTGACCATAATGGAATCAAGCTAGAAATAAATAATAGAAACAAAAGGAAAATCTCTTAACTATTTGGAAATTAACGCATTTCTGAATAAGCCCTGGGTCACAGAAGAAGTCCCAAAGGAAATGAAAAAATACATTCCACTGAATGACAATAAAAATAAACTGTACGTGGGATGTAGCTCAAGCAGTGCTCAGAGGGAAATTTACAGCAATAAATGCTTACATTAGAAATGAGGAAAGATAGCAAATCAGAAATCAATGAAAAGCTAAATGAGTGTAAATGTAAGTGAAAATCTAATTGTAAATCTAGGTAAATGTTAATGGAATAGAAGACACAATATGGTAAATTGTCAGTTTTCCCCTAATTGATCTGTACGTTTAATGCAATTCCTACTAAAATCCCAGTAAGGTTTCTGTAGAAATAGACAAACTTATTCTAAAATTTATAAGGAGCGGTCCTAGCCCTAAAATAGCTTAAACAGTGTTGAGGAAGACGAATAAATTACATACCCTGATATAAGAGCTTACTCTAATGCTATAGTAATCAAGACAGTGTGGTACTGGTGGAGAGATGGATCAGACCCATAGGCCGATAGAACAGAATAGAGATCCCGGAAATATAACCCACAAACATGCCTAACTGATTTTTTACAAAGGTGCAAAGCAGTTCCTTGGAGGAAAGATAACCTTTCCAACAAATGGTGCTGGGGCGATTAGACATCCAGAAAACCCCCACTACCACCACATCACACACCCCAAAAGTACATTCACACGCACAAACACACTCAAAAGTTTTTTTTAAACTTCACATCTTACCTAAAAATTAACTGAAAATGGATCATCGTGAGCTAAACTAAAATAAAACTATAAAACTTTTAGAAAAAAATAGTTTTAAAAAGAGAAATGTGTCATCCCTCTGCTCACATGCCTCTGTCCCTTTATCCTTGTAGCCCTTCAATATTCAGTTTGGACAGCACCCCTCTGGGAAGTTGTCACTGCTCCTGCAAGGCTGGCTGGCTCAGTCATCTATCTCACGGGCTCCAGTAACACCATGATGGACATTTGGCTTTTCTCTGCTTGCCCAGCATCTGGGCCTTTTCATGTTTGGGGAATTCCCTGTTAAATTAGCTTTGTTTAGTGCAAGGGTCCGCTGCCTGCTACAGAAGCCAAGGAGGAGAGATACTGTTTCCTGGTATCACCTGTTGGCAGCGTGGGTATAACAGTCATTTAGGATGGTCATTGCCTTTGCCTGAGGCTTTGAGTATGGAGTGAGTGATGGAAAGGACCTGGGACACGGAGACCTCATTGTTGGGCTCATGGCAGCAGCATCTGCTTCTCGGGGGTGGTGCTGGTGATGGTATCCAGAGAGTGGTGGCATCTACAATAGAAGGCTTCTGAAGGGTTGAGGGCTGGTCCTGCTGCCAGTCGGCCTTCATTCCTGCCTTTCTAAAGATTCTATGAGCTGTGGGGTCCTTTCAATAAATCCTTTTTCTTTTTAACCAGAGTCAGTTTCTGTTGCTTACAAAAGAATCTTGATTGATTCAAATACTCTATCATAATAGTATTGCATATTTTGCCTGTTTACTTGCCATTTCCTCATACTAGATCATGGTTGGAAGCTCTGTCTTACTCATTCTTGGACATTCAACATACAGCGTGCTTGAGGTATATTACCTTTTCAGTAAATAATGAAATGTTCAGGTCTTCAACTTTATTTCTCCATTGGCGTGATATTTAGTGGCAGGTTCCCTGTGACTTTGGCATTTAGAGGGCTTTTAGTTTTAGTTTTCAGTGCTGTTTGCAAGATTTGAATATTTTGTTTGCCTTTTGGATATTTTATTGGGAACTTGAAAGAGAATTTGTAGTTACCTTGAACAATATTTTTTCTTCCCTCCTTATTTTTCTTAATGCAAGTACCAGGTGAGATGGACAAGGGAACCTTTTTTATCAGGGCAAAAAATAAGACTTTGTGATCAACCGACAGAGTAATCAGCTGATAGATTTTTTTTGTAATTTTCGTTCATTGTGCTTTATAATGTTAGCACACTGATATATATTACACACAATTACACACACACACACACACGGGCTCCTTGTGTCTCCTTGTTTGTTCCTGTTAATTCCATCATATTTCAGTCGCAGCAGAGATGAGTCAACATCTCAGTTATCTTGGATGACTCTGTTTTGTCCCCTCAGTGGGAATGCCTTTGAGTGTACCTCCTTAGTACCCTTCCCCTTTTCTCCATTAATATGAGCCAAGTCACCATGACCTTATTTGCATAGCTTCCCCCCAGATTTCACTCTTACTGAAATCAAGCCTGTCTTGCAGAGTTTCTAGATGGATCTTTCTGATGAGACCTCAAAAAGCTTGATAATATCTTGTGATTCCAACCCTAAGTTGATCTGTACTGTTTCTTCATATTATTCATTCTTACCTCACTCACTGTGGTTTTACCACTCACATATTAAATAGTGTCCTTTTTGGGAAAAATCTGTTTTTTACATTCATGCTGCTTGTCCCCTTAACATTCTCAGTGTGTTCAAGTTCTGCCCTTCAGTTGACATAGAATATGCTCCAGGATGCATTCCCTTACCTACCCTCCCTTATTCAAAACAGAGATACCCTTTCATATGAGTGCTGCTCCCCTCTTCTTGGAGCCTATCTTACCTATCCCTTGGTATTATATATTATTGTACTAGTATTATTTGAGGCAGTTGAATGGATTTGAAAATGAAAGCATCAGTGGTCTTCTCTATAGAGCTTTCAGAGTTAATGAATCATAGGTTTATTTCATTGGGTTTTAGAAAACTTAAAGCACCATTAAAACCCAAAGCACCATCAAAACAGTATAGTGTTAATTTTCTGTATCATGCAGATACCAGTAGGGGTATTTATGGTTTGAAATGCACATTTTTTTCTTAAAAATGATGTCTTGGTATTTTGTTTCCTTGCCTTGAGGATTTTATTCAGATTATCATTTGTTTTTTTACTTTCACAGTCGATGCTCCGAGGGAGAGGAGGTTGCTATAAACATACATTCTATGGCATTGAAAGCCATCGTTGCATGGAAACTACCCCAAGCTTGGCTTGTGCAAATAAATGTGTCTTCTGTTGGCGGTAAGTAAAAATGAATGGCTGTGGTGACCAAATATGTAACCGTCTATAATAATCCATTTCTGTTCAGCATTGCGCTAAAATTTACCTAAAGCTCTGCTGTTTCTATAATTAATCCCCCTTTTCATTCCTAATATATTTATGCATTTGGTTGTTTTTCCTTGATCAGTTTCATCAGGGGTTTGCCAATTTTTTGTCTTTTTGAGGACATAGGTTTTAGCTTCATGAATCCTCTGTATTATATATTTGTTTTCTTGTTCAATAATCTACTACTACTGTTTTTTTTTTTTTACCCCCGTTCTTTTTCTAACTTAGACTGTTAACTCATCAATATTCGGTCTTCTATAAGTCTTTAATCAGAAATTTTCATCTAAGTACTTCTTCAGCTACATTCCATAGATTTTGATTAGTTATTTCTTAAATTATTATTTTTTTGAATATAGTTGACATACATGGTAGTTTCAGGTGTGCAAAATAGTGATTCAACAAGTGTAGCTCTCATCTGTTACCATACAACACTATTACAGTACACTTGACTCTATTCCCTATACTTTACCTTTTATTCTTATGACATTCATTCGGTAACTGGAAGCCTATGTCTCTCACTCCCTTTCACCCATTTTGCCCATTTCCCATCCCTCTCCCCTTCTGGTAACCATCAGTTCTCTGTGTTTATAGTTCTGATTCTCTTTGTTTGTTTGTTTATTCATTAGTTTTGTTTTTTGATTACACGTATAAGTGAAATCATATGGTAATCTTTGTCTGTCTCTGTCTGCCTTATTTCATGTAGCATGATACTCTCTAGGTCCATCTGAGTTGTCACACGTGGCAATGTTTCATTCGTTTTTATGGCTGAGTAATATTCCATTGTACATATGTACTATATCTTCTTTATCCGTTCATCTATTAGTGGACACTTGGGCTGCTTTCATATCATGGTTATTATAAATAATGCTGCAATAGACAGTGGTACATATATCTTTTTGTTTTCTTTGGGTAAATACCCAGTAGTGGAATTTTGGATCATATGGTAATTCTATTTATAATTTATTTTTGGGTAACCTCCATACTGTTTTCCACTGTGGCTGTACCAACTTATATTCCCATCAGCTGTGCACAAGGGGTTCTTTTTCTCCATATCCTTGCCAACACTTGTTATTTCTTGTCTTTTTTGTTCTAGCTATTCTGACAGGTGTTAGGTGACATCATTATGGTTTTGATTTGCATTTCCTTGATGATTGATGTTGAACATCTTTTCATGTGTCTGTTGGCCATCAGTATGTCTTCTTTTGAAAAATGTCTGTTTGGATCCTTTGCCCATTTTAAATCAGATTATTTGCTTTCTGGTGTTTAATTATATAAGTTATTTATATATTTTGGATATTAACCCCTTACCAGACACACTAGTCTCTTCTAGTGTTTTCTCCCAGTCCTTTGACAGTTAGTTTTTAATTTCCTCTTTAGTTGTTTGGCTCATTCTTTGCCTGATGAATTCTCTCTGATTTTGTCCTTGGCTTTCTTTTATTGCTTTGTGTTATAATGGTAGGAGAAGTAAACCATCTCTGTGGTTTCATTAAATACCTGTAGTTTGACATCTTTATATTCTTGTTTTTTTGTTTTGTTTTGTTTAGAGAGAGAACTTGTGAGCTGGAGGGGAGGGGCAGACGGAGAGGGAGAGAGAGAATCGTGAGCAGGCTTCAGACCCAGCACAGGGCTGGATGCAGGGCTCTGTCTCACAACCCTGAGATCTTGAATTGAGCCAAAATCAAGAGTTGGACGCTTAACCGACTGAGCCACCCAGGTGCCCCAACCACCTTTTTATATTCTTTGTCTCTAGCCCTAGTCTCCCTTCTGAGTTTACATCCTCTGTATGCAGTTGTCTGTTGGATATATTCTCTTAGATGATCCACAGGTACTTTAAGCTCGATTTGTCCACAGTGGAATTTATTATGCTCTCTGTTAACTTCTAACCGTTAGCTATCCAGTGGCTTAGGCTGAAAAACTCTTCTTTCTCTAACTCACTGTATCCATTTGTATGTCTGATTCCATTTTAGATTATCAATATTTCACCCTTTAGCAACCAAAATGATTTAATACTTGCCAGCCTAAGCCATTTCTTAATTTATCTGTCATATTGGTACAAGAGCTATAATTCTTTTTTTTAAAGTGGTTTTATATCATTGATCATAAAAGTAATCCATGCTTATTATAGAAACTTTTAGAAAATACCAAAAATATGAAGAGAAACAACTATCTATAATTCCAGAATCCAGACAAATCATCATTAATGCTTTGGAGTATTTGCTTTCTTTCTCTCTTTTTTTTTTCCCCCTAAGTCATCTTATTTTTTCAAAAACATGGTTGAAATCATTCTCTACTTTCTGTTTTTTTATCCTGTTTTTATTTTTTAAAATATAAGACTCTTGCTCTGTCATTAAAGTCTTATAGGCATAAACTTTTTGTTTTGAAATAATTCCGGATATACAGAAGAGTTACAAAGGTAGTAGAATTTCTGTATATTTTTCACCTAACTTTCCCTAATGTTAAGTAAGACCTTACTTAGCTATAGAACAATTATCAAAACAATTGTCAAAAATAATCAAAAAGAAATTAACATAGATGCAGTGCTATTAATTAAACTGGAAACTATTTGAGTTTCATCAGTTTTCCCACTAATATCCTTTTTCTTTCAGAATGCAGTTTTGGGTCCCACATCACATTTAGTTGTTATATCTCTTCAGTTTTCTGTTGTCTGCCACAGTTCTTCAGTCTGTCCTTGCTTTTCATAACCTCAACACCTTTGAAGAGTACCGGTCAGATATTTTGTCTGATGTTTTCTCATGGTTAGATTGAAGTTACGGATTTTGGGAAGACTACCATAGAAGTGATGTGACCTTTTCAGCAGGTCCTATTAAGGGATACATGATATCATTATGTCCTGTTACTGGTGGAGTTAACCTTTATCATTTGATTAAGATAGTGTCTGCTAGGTTTTCAAGGTGTAAACTGCACCTTAACATTTTTTCCGCTTTGTGTAATTAATAAATATTTTGGGAAGATTCTTTGAGTCTATGCAAATATGCTGTTTCTCTTTAAGCATTTGTCCACTAAATTTTTCATTCATTAGTGGATTTTGCTTGCATCAAATTATTACTTTGGTGTTCCACTGATTATTTTTTTTTACATTTAATAATTGGAATTCTTCTGTAAGGAAGAATCATTTCTCCCTCATTTTAAAATTTATTTTTATTAATTTGGATTCAAGAATATCCAATACTATTATTGTTTACGTTATTGCTCATATTTTTCTAGCTTTGGCCATTAATAGCTCTGTTGGGTTGGCTTCTGTGTCTTTTCTTTCATTTAAAACACTTATGTATTATCTGACTCCAGAAGAGGTTCCAGGTTCATCTTGTGATTTTCCTGCCCAGCCTTGGAGTCAACCACTTTTCTAAGGAACTCTAGTTCCTCTTATCGAAGAATGGTACTTAGACTCCAAAATTTGGATGCTTGATATGCTCATTTCTATTGGGGTGTTAGTGCTTCTAGGCCCTCTCAGCAGATAGAAGTAGAAAATATATGTGTATCTGTTGCTGTATATTAAAATACACAACTGTGAGTTTTTACGGATATCTTCAGTTCCTATCAGCATCATAGAGCTCATTCTAGTATTCCTTTTGTGCTTACTTGTAACTTTTTTCTTTGACGGTAAGAAACCCGGCCTGGCCCTCACCATCTACAACATATTAACCTCAACCTTAGTTATATGCATGTGAAGGACTTTAGAATTGCAAACTGATGCCTTTGTGAGAAATAAATTTATCTTAGGATGGATTTGTCTGGCTTTGGCATCAGGATAATGCTAATCTCATAGAATGAGTTAGGAAGTGTTCTCTTCTCTTTTACATTTTTGAAAGTTTGGGAAGAATTGGTGTTGATTCTTTGAATGATTAGAGGAATTCACCAGTGAAACCTGTTTTTGGGCTTTTCTTTGTAGCGAGGTTTTTTTTTTTTTTAAAGATTTTTTTTTTTTATTCATGAGAGACAGAGCGAGAGAGAAAGGCAGAGGGAGAAGCAGGCTCCCAAGCAGTAGGGAGCCCGATGCGGGACTCGATCCCAGGACCCTGAGATCATGACCTGAGCCGAAGGCAGACGCTTAACCATCTGAGCCACCCAGGCGCCCTGTAGCGAGGTTTTTGAATACTGATTCAATTACTTGTCCTAAGTTGGTTTAGATTTTCCATTTCTACTTGAGTCAGTTTTGGGAATTTCTATGTTTCTAGGAATTTGTTCATCTAGTTTATCTAATTTGTTGGCATACAGTTGTTTATAGTATTTTCATAATCCTTTATTTCTGTAAGATTGGTAGTGATGTATTAAGTTTCATTTCCGAGTTTACTAATTTGAGTTTTTTTTTTTTTTTAATCCCCCTTTTTTTTATTTTTTTAATTTTTTAATTTTTTTATTCTTATGTTAATCCCCATACATTACATCATTAGTTTTAGATGAAGTGTTCCATGATTCATTGTTTGTGCATAACACCCAGTGCTCCATGCAGAACGTGCCCTCCTCAATACCCACCACCAGGCTAACCCATCCTCCCACCCCCCTCCCCTCTAGAACCCTCAGTTTGTTGAGTTTTTTTTTTCTTAATCTAGGTAAAGGTTTGTCAGTGTTGTTGATCTTTGCAAGAACCAACTTTTGGGTTCATTGATTTTTCTCTGATGTTTTTCTATTCTCAAGTTTCATTTGTTTTTATTCTGATCTTTATTAAATCCTTCCTTTTGCTGCCTTGAGCTTAGTTTGCTTCTCATTTTCTAGTATTAAATGGTGTATAGGTAGGTTATTGATTATTTATTTACTTATTTATTTAAAGATTTTATTTATTTATTTGACAGAGAAAGACACAGTGAGAGAGGGAACACAAGCAGGGGGAGTGGGAGGGGGAGAGGCAGGCTTCCTGTGGAGTGGGGAGCCTGATACGGGGCTCAATCCCAGGACCCTGGGATCATGATCTGAGCCTAAGGCAGACACTTAACAACTGAGCCACCCAGGCACCCCTGATTTTTTTTTTTTTTTTTAAATGTGAGTGTTTACAGCTATAAATTTCTTTCTGACCACTGTTTTAGCTACATTCTATTCATCTCTAGTATTTTGTAATTTCCCTGTTTTCTTCTTTGATCCACTGGTTGTTTAAAAGTGTTGTTATTTGTTGATTTTTCAGTTTTCTTTCTGTTCTTCATTTCTGGTTTTATTCCATTGTGGTTGAAGAAAATATTTTGTATGATTTCAGTCTTTTAAAATTTATTGATACTTGTTTTATGGCCTAACAAAGGGTACATCCTAGAAAATGTGCTATATACAATTGAAAATGTGTATATTGACGTTTTTTGGGTGTATTGTTTTGTATATGTCATAGGCATTATTGGCGTATCATATTGTTCAAATGCACTATTTCTTTTTAAAATTTTTTATTGTTATGTTAATCACCATACATTACATCATTAGTTTTTGATGTAGTGTTCCATGATTCATTGTTTGTGCGTAACACCCAGTGCTCCACAAATGCACTATTTCTTTATTGATCTTCTGCCTAATTGTTCTGTCCATTATTTAAAATGTGGTTTTTGAATTTTATAATTATTAATGTAGAACTGTATTTTTCTCTTAGCTTATAAATATTTGTTACATATATTTTGGTGCTCTTTTATTAAGTATGTATATGCTTATAATTGTTAACATCTTCTTGATGGATTGACATGTTTATCAATATATAATGTTCTTCCTTGTCTTTTCTAACAGTTTTTGACTTAGAGTCTGTTTTGTGTTATAGGAGTGTAGCTACCTCAGCTCTCTTTTGGTTACTATTTGCATTAAATGTTGTTTTTCTTCCTTTCACTTCTGTCTGTTTGTGTCTTTGGATCTAAAGTGAATCTCTTAGGCAGCATATTGTTGGATTTTTTTTTTAATCCATTCTGTCAATCTCTGGCTTTTAATTTTAGATAATTTAATCCATTGACATTTTGCTCTTTGTTTTTATAAGTGTTATATCTTTTATGTTGCACACTTTATTACTGCCTTCTTTTGTGTTTGACTCTTTGTTATGTACAATTTGACTTCATTATTGTTTCCCTTTCTGTGCATTTTTCAGTTATTTTCTTGGTGGTTATTTCTCTGGGGATTAAAACTAACCTCTTAAACTTACAACACTCTACATTTAATTTTCTTTATTTGTGGTAGTTCTGTGAAGTTGCAAGAATGCTGCAGTAGCGAATACTAAACTGTGACTTTTAGGGGAAATAAAGGATTAGGTTCTTACAGTCCTCTTGTCAGAACATATTTGCCATCTTACCAGTACATAACTTTGTTATATGCTTCTGTGTAAAGTATTTTATTTATTTATTTTTAAATGTTTTATTTATTTACTCATGAGAGTCAGAGAGAGAGAGGGAGAGAGAGGCAGAGGCAGAGGTAGAAGCAGGCTCCCCGCCTAGCAGGGAGCTCGATGTGGGACTCGATCCCAGGACTCTGGGATCATGACCTGAGCCGAAGGCAGATACTTAACCATCTGAGCCACCCAGGTGCCCCTGTGTAAAGTATTTTATATATACTTTTGATTCATTAACATTGAACTTATGGCCAACAGCATTGTAATTCATGCCTAATGAAGCTTATCTAACATACATATTTTCCCTGCAAGGCACATCATAGTCTTCTTGTGCTTAAGAACACTACACAGCACTTTAGCCCTGTGCTTGGGAACTATTTTAAATAGCAACATCACTAACAAAATGCAAAAAATGGGACATTAAGTTGACTGCAGTATGAAAACTTAAACAAGAAGGCAAAGAGAACATTGTCTTGTTTGACCTCATTTGGGAATGTGTGTACTAAAAACTCAATTTTTTGCTGCTCTGTGAGTGACCATGAATAACCACAAATATTGACCTCAAGTATTGATTTTGGGGTTACAGATAAATTTTAGCAAGTAGGTAATTTTGCAAATATGGAATCAGCAAATAATGAGGATTGACTTTATTTTGAACAAATACCACCTTTGGTTCAACACTATTCAAAAACTTTGCTCATACAAAGCTTCATTCCTTCTTTTTTGTGTTGCCACAACTTTATGCATTGTGTACTCATTAACATAGATTTATGATTATTGTTTTATACATTTGTCTTTTAAATTGTATAGAAAAAAAGAGCTAGAGTCCAAAAAGTTCAGTAATGCAGACTTTTTTGTATTTGCCTATGTAATAAACTTTATGTTCTGTATTTCTTTGTGTGGTGCAAATCTATCTAGTGTCCCTTCATTTCTGCTTTAAGGACTGCCTTTAGCATTTCTTGTAGTGCAGATCTACTAGTGATGAACTCCCTCAGTTTAGCTTCATCTGGAAATGCCTTGTCTTTCCTTCAGTTTTGAAGAGTAGTTTTGCGAGATATGGAATTCTTGATTGACATTGTTTTTCCTTTTAGCATTTTAAATATGTTATCCCACTGCCTCTTGACCTCCATGGTTTCTGCTGAGAAATTGCCTGTTAATCTTACTGAGGATCCCTTGTATGTGATGAATATCTTCTCTTGCTTCCTTCAAGATTCTTGAATCCTTTGTCTTTCAGCAGTTTGGTTATAATGTGTCTTGGTATGGATCTCTTTGAATTTATTCTGTTTGAGTTCCTTGAGCTTGTTGGATTTGTAAATTCATGTCTTTTATCTAATTTGGGAAGTTTTTAACCATTATTTCTTCACGTATTCTTTCTTCCCCTTTCTCCCTTTCATTTTGGGACTTCCTTTAAACCAGTGTTGGTATTCTTGATGGTGTCACACAGCTCCATAAGGC